TCCAGGCTCAGAGCTGCCGCTGCTCTTGTCACGACTCATCGATTCGGGTGGGATAAGACCCGAGCGGCAGCATGGGCAGGAGAAGCAGCGTTGCCATTCCCACTTCTCGCTCCTCATAAGAAAAATATCCCTCTGCTGCTCTTGGTGTCTAAATGCCTGGAAAAAAACCCTATGCACAGTGGAGCCAGTTTGGAGATGTTTAAGGGGATTTTGTGGGTTAGGAGGAAGACATGGAAGGTGCAGTGACCGCCTCGCCTGTGCGGGTGACGTCTCTCTCTGCAGTGGGCTCTCCCAGCGAGGACACAGCTGGGCTCCGTGCAGGGTGGGCTTTACAGAGATGTGAGGATTGGCATGATGCTGGCACCCAGGGGACACCAGCACCCACCCAGGGGACACCAGCACCCACTCAAGGGCACAGATTGTCTCTGCCATGCCTTTGGCTCCCCCAAGACCAGTTCTCGGTTCCATTCCCAGGTTACGTTGATATTGGGATTATCCCCGTGGGAGCCCGGGAGATTCGGATCGAAGAAGTGGCAGAAGCTGGGAATTTTCTGGCACTGCGGAGCGAGGACCCAGAGAAGTATTTCCTGAACGGTGGCTGGACCATCCAGTGGAACGGGGACTACAGGGTGGCAGGGACCACCTTCACCTACAAGAGGACGGGGAACTGGGAGAACCTCACCTCCCCAGGGCCCACCGTGGAGCCCGTGTGGATCCAGGTACGGTCTGGGATCTGCCGGTGGTCGAGGCGCGTGGTGGGGGGACAGAGGGGACAGAGCTGCTGGATCTCCTACCTTCAAGTAGTTCCTCACGGCATTTCCCTGCCATCCGAGGGATGGGGCTGGGCATCTCCTCACTGAGCGTGTCTCTCCAGGAGCGGATGTTGGGAGCGGCTGAGCACGCTGGCCCCAGGTTGATATTGCTCCTGTTGCAAAGCGTGTCGCAGAGGTAGTCACCGGCCCTCAGGACCCACCGGCAGCGACAGCTCAGCCCGATGAGCTCTCC